CATTGGTGCAGCTGAAGCTACATACACGACCTTCTGCACCTTTGTAGAACCTAAAGAATGGTAGCACATGAATGTTGAGGGCATGACACATAGTCTTGAGCTCCTCATAGTTAACTTTAAGAAAAATTGCATCTGGGTTCAATTCAGCCAGCTGACAGATCTGTGAAAATGGATAATTGTTGGTTAACAAATTTCACAAAAATAAATTAGATTGCTATAATTTCGAGGTGGGTTTTCTCTACACAGAAATATATGAATTGGTAATTTGGTCTCTAGAACATAAACTGAAAATAAAATATACCTTGGGATGGAGAGCCCTGCAACCTCCACAACCAGGTGAGTAGAAGTCAACTACAACCAATCTATCCCCAGCGTTCTTCAAGGAATCAACAAGTTCTTGAGCAGAACGGATCTCCACCATGTTGGGATGAAGGGTCTTCTCCCACCATTTCATAGCTCGGCTTACACAGATAGATGCTTGGGCCTGAAACCAGATATTAACTATTATTTGTTGAAGGCCAAAAGAATAATGCAGTATGGAAACACAAAAATCTACAAATGCCAAAAGCCAAAATAGAGAAAGGAAAAAAAGAAAACTTTACATACATGAACAGAGAAATGGCTTGGCGTTTTGACCTTCCAATTCTCAAAACCCTTATGATCTGAGACAATAATGGGTTTGCCCAAGAAATCACAACTCAACACAGGAAAAGCGCTTGAATTTGAATCCTTATATTGTGAAGAATTGAAGGGGGGACAAAACCTAAAATCCCCTTTGGATTTGGAGCCAAGTGTAATCTCATCCAACCCAGAAATATAGAAACCACTCTGTGATGAGAATGCCATAGCTAGGTTAAATCAGACACCGTTTCTGAGAGCAGGAAACAAGAAAAACCCACTTCAACCTTTCCAACTTTCTGAATCAAAATGGTTGGAATATGGCTGAAAAGAGATCCCTTGCAATAAAACCTTGAACAAGATTTATGCTTTTCAACAAAAAGTGCAAGCTTTGAACAAAAAGGTGTGATCTTTTTGACAAGTAACCTATCTAATTGTGGCTTGAGAGAGAGAGAGAGAGAGAGAGAGAGAAGTATCTTTGTTCTTTGAAAACTTTGGAGAGGGAGAGGAGAGGAGAGGAGAGGAGAGGAGGAAGAAGAAGAAAGAAGTGGGTATTTAGAAAAGGAAAAAACGGTAGGTGGGGTCTTTCTGATTAGGATTTTACTCTTATCCACATTTTATTTTCCCCTTTATAATTTGGATAAATGACACTGAATTTTAGCTCTGTCTTGAATGTTGACGTGTATATCCTCTCACCGGAATTAAAGATGATTTGTGTTATAATTTGGGGTTTTTTTCATCTTTTTTTGTAATTTTGGGTTGAGTTTTGGGATTTGAGCTGGCCATGTTCTAAACAATTTGCTATATTATTACCGGTAAATGTTTCTGTTGTGTATTTGCAATAGAATATTCCCCATGAAATTATGAAAAGCGGATAAAACGCGTTGCTGACTGTGTCTGCCTCTTCGAGTTTTGGATAAGATGACAAATCCTTTCTCTCTTTTTACACTGCCCGGAACGAGTAAAATCGCTCTGTTTATTTGACTTTTTCTTTTTTCCAAATGCTATTTTGGTAAATAAAAGTCTTTTTTTATATATAAAATTCCAAGTATTTTCTGACGAAAATTTTCGTTTTTATTTATATATATATAAAAAACAGAAAAAGGATTTATAAATAGTTTTGAGAGAAATAGGATTTATATATAGTTTTCTTAATACAGGATTTATATATAGTTAAACAACAGGTAAAAGTCCTAATTCCAGTCCATTACAACAAGCAAACCATGCAAGGGGGATGAATTTTACTATTAATAAGGGAGCTATTTTTTACCATCAAAACTTTAATAATTTTAAGAGATATGGGTGGATTAACTTCATATATAAAGGTAATTTAATAGTTTTCATAATTAGAGGTAATTTTAATATAATAAGGGTGTTTTTTTACCATCAAAATGACTAGACCTAGAGCGCCAAAGCTACTTTGTTTTTTTCTTCTGTCCTATCAATCTCACCTTAATAAACAAATAACCATGAGATGCTTTGTGCTAAGTGCCCTGATTAGGCCTTAACAAATGACAAATCGCAGCATCTAACAACCACATGGTTATTAAAATATTATAGAGAGAAAAAAACATTTAATTAATAAACAACATCCACGGCAAACACACTATGGACATAAGAATTTCAAACGCAGAAGATATTTTTCCCATTAATAATCATGAGTGATGAGTCATGGTACAAGGAACCTAATCCAAAACAACAACAAAATAAATAGAAACCAAGTTCAAGTAGTTCCAAAACTCTGCACTTCACTCAATGGAAGTCTCTTAGAACGTAAGTCAGTTGTTGTTTTTTTTAGATCTTTGTTTTGGTCGAGTAAGCCAGTTGTTGGATGAAGAGACTAATTGATTTTAAATTGGATTGAAAGAGAACAAAAATAATGCACATAATGGACTCAAATTCATCTTCCACCATCGAAATGGATAAATGTTAATATGTGGTGCATTTGATTGAAATGCCACTAAGCGCAATTGTGGATTAAGGGAAAGTGTGTCGCCCCTTTGCACCCGAGTTCGAATTATTCTCTCCTTAAATTAGAGTAGTTTATGAAATGCCACCAAGCAGCAACAAATGTGTGTAGCTTATATCTAAATGTATAGGACCAAAAACCCACATTCATTTTATGATTTAATGTTATGGGAGCGTCATGCATGCAAGTGCGCCTTTTCTCTGGATGAAATGGCATGACAGTGAGAGCACCTGGTCTTCTAGATGATGGATAATGATAAAGCTTCGTTACATGTGCATGGGATCTGTATATTAGCACACAGATTTTGGAGCAATTTTTCTGGTCCTTAAAGATGGCCCATAGATTTGGATTTTGGAACACTGGTTTGCCACAAAACCAAGGCAGAGGTATCTTCCAGAACAAGTACATGAGTTTGGGAACAGCTTTCCCGGTGTCTCTTTTGGTCTACCTAACAAAGAAATAAGAGCCACAACAATGCAATCATGCAGCATTGTTCTCCATAACCTCAATGATTATTCAATTTACCAACTTGTTTCTATTTTTTTTCTTCTTCTTTTGTTAGTTTTTTGCAGAACTAACTGTAAATATAAAAAAACAAAAGATTAAAAAGATTAATTCAAACATTCAAAGGTTTGAATTAATATATAGTATATATACAAATTACAAGAACTTCTGGATGTTTGAAGGGGTGGAAGAACAGTGAAAGAATATTAAACAATCATTTCACTTGACAAGCTCCTCCTCCTTACCAGCCTCTTCCAACTCTCTCAAGCTTCCAACCTTCTGCTCTATCTCCTCAATCAGCTCCTCCCTCCACAACTCTGCTCTTGCAGATTCTTCAATGTCTGCTTGCTGCATCACCAACCATTAATTATACCTCAATCAGATTTTTAAGTTGCTGGCCAACTACCATTGATATAGGAGGAGGTATCTATACATGTGGAGATGCTGTTTGAAGTTACATATAAAGTGGGACCCAGAAGTGCATGGAAAATAATGAACTTAAGTAAGTACCTTCTCATAAATCCAATGTCCAGTACCATCACCTCCATCTTTTCTGTACGCTTCTGAATCATAGTATGGATCCTGAAACATTCTCCAACATTTCAGAATGCTCTCTAAACTAAGCTAATGAAAATATTACAATTAATGTAATAAGTAAGATCTCTTTCTACGGGGAATTTTAGATTAATAAAATAAAACGATATAAAAATTAATAAATTAAATATATGGATCCTAAATATATATATATATATATATTATAATATACGAATTCACAAAAACTACAAGTGTCCAAAGAAAAGAATGAAGTGAGACTAAATATAGCTACTTCTACCTTCATGGAACCAAAGAATAAGCATCCCCAACAAGTGAACATGATGTAAAAAGTATCTACAAATAGGAAAGGGAGGGGTTAAACAAAAAATCTGTCACAATTTTCATGCATCCTAATCCATCACAGAGTACATAGAAAAACTAATCAAAAAAACCTTAGGAAAGGTGTACTTACAGACGTTCTTTATGGATTCATCACTGAGATGCACAATAGATTTGTGGGTTATAAGGTCTCTTTGGCCTTCTATATGTTCAACTAGAACTGCCATCAAAGGCCAATCTGGGAAAGCATTTGTTTTGCATAAAGAGGCTCTTTTGCTATTCTTCCCAACTACAAGCTATTGAACAAAATATAAGACATGAAGTTAATGCAGTAAATGGTTTAACATATTCATGATTCTGTTTTTTGCTAATTAAGAAACCAATAAGCGAAGAGAAATTCACAAACTGCTTAATTACCTGCTTGCCCCCACTGAAAAGTTCAGAGCTTGAAGACTGCCTAAGCTGCAAAAGAAAGGCACTCTAAGCATTTTCATGTACCATTTTAAACATAACAAGCAAAGCAGCAAAACAAAAAAAGTCATTAACAAGGGAAGGTTGGATTTTTACCAATCTGGTACATGCGCTCATGTGAGTCATGTCCAATTTAGTTGTTTGCATAGAGGAGCTATGAATATGTGGACTGATAATGGTGAAACCCATGATTGCTTCTGCCATTGTCTCCAATGAGTTGAAAAAGATGCAGTTGTAAATTGAAGTGTGAGAGTTTAGGCTGCAGTTTTTGTTTTGTTTTTCATTGGATTGGAGGGAAAGTGGATAAGAGAATCATTTGCGTCCACCCTTCTATCACCTTATGAAACATTTAAAATATAATACTATAAATATAATGTTTAAAGAAGGTTTACCAACTGGCCTATTAGCTCAGCTGGTTAGAGCGTCGTGCTAATAACGCGAAGGTCGCAGGTTCGAGACCTGCATGGGCCATTTCTTTTTATCTTTATCCTTTTGTTTTGTTTTTTAATTTTTAATGTTCAGCTTCAAAGAAAAGACACCACTTCAAAGAAAAGACACCAATAGCCAACAGAATAATCAATCACAATCAAGGAAAGTTCAGAGCTTTCGATGTGCTATTAGGCTCTTGTTTTCTACGAATTCTGTCTACTTCTTCGTCCTCTTATACACACTTTGTTTGATTTTCCTCATCTCTTTTTCTCGGAAAATCTGTCTTCTTTACAAGAAATTTTATGGGGAGGACTGGTTTGTTTGATCTTGAAAGGCACTTCGCCTTCTACGGCGCATACCACAACAACCCAGTTAACATTTTGATACACACTGTGTTTGTGTGGCCGATAATGTTCACCTCTATGGTTCTTTTGTACTTCACACCTTCTCTGTACACTTTCCCAGCTGGGTTCAGTCATGATTTTCTCTTGAATTTTGGGTTTGTTTTCACTGTGATCTATGCCTTGTTTTATGTCTGCTTGGATAAGAAAGCTGGGTCTTTGGCTGCTTTGCTCTGTGTTCTCTGTTGGGTTGGAGCCAGTTTGCTTGCTGGTCGCCTTGGATTTTCTTTGGCATGGAAGGTAAGCTTCTCTGTTTTAGCTTATGTCTTGTTTGTTGATGATATGATTTTGGGGGAAACCACAAAGATAACAAATTGGGGATAATTTTAAAATTCAGTCTAAGGCCTATGCTAAAGTATTTTCTGATTGTAATTCTAAGCATCAAAATGGCACTGGGATGGTTAAGTTTCCTCTCTTGTTGCTTAGGAATTCTGATTAGATGAATTTGAGGAACCACATGGCACGCACTTGGATGAACTCTCCCCAAAGATTGAAACTTTAAACTAGAAATTTGGGCAATAGCATTTTCCAATTGGTATTGCAGGTCTTTTGAGGTTGAAACACCAATTACAGGGTCTATGTTGAAAACTGAAATCCTACTTGTTTGATGAAATACTTATTCAGGTTGTGCTGGCTGCTCAGTTGTTCTGTTGGACTGGACAGTTCATAGGCCATGGGGTGTTTGAGGTGACTAATTTTGGGCTTTTGAAACTTTATGCCTTGTTCCCATGTTCCTAACATAGTATACATTTCCCTGTAATATTTTCATTAGTGAAAATGAACGGAATTTATATATATCTTACGATAATTTTTCGTTTTAGAAACGAGCACCAGCTCTTTTGGACAACCTCGTTCAAGCATTTCTAATGGCGCCTTATTTCGTGCTGCTTGAGGTACGTCCTTAAATCCCGTCTAGATTGGAGATGGCTTCTCTATGTGATGATGAGTGAGTCATGTTTCTGTTGCATCGTGCAGGTTCTTCAAACAGCGTTCGGCTATGAACCTTATCCCGGGTTTCATGCAAGTGTGAAAGAAAAGATAGACGCCAACCTCAACGAGTGGCACGAGAAGAAACAGAAGAAAATCTCTTAGTGTAGATCAGCCACATGAGACTGTACTAGTGTAGATCAGCCACATGAGACTGTACTAGTGTAGTTTAGCCTCCTGAAAAGAATGAGATGAATGTACTGGTCTGTATCCATATCCATCAAGTACACAAACTTTAGATGGAAATCTATAAATAAAATTTCCAGACTTGAGCCGGAACTGAGCAATATAGTTATCCATTTGAAATGATCTCTGAGCTCTAAATTGTCTAAGTAAGCTTCCTACGTAGCAGTATATTACACAGGCGACAACTTTCAACTATAGTAATTGCTGTATCTATTTCTTCAGAATAGGCTTCGGTTGAGTCCATTTCAAACCTCATATCATATGAGAAATGCTCCAACCAGGCTATTACCAGGCTCTGGTTTTTGAACTCCCTTGTCCTTCATTGATTTCCTCACACTCATAACTTCGTTCCATCGGCCCACACTTGCATACATGTTAGCCAGAAGAACATAGTCGCTGCTATGACCTTGATCTGGTTCCAGCTCCAAAAGATGGCTCCTCACCTTTTCCCCAAGCTCAACGTCAGCATGCACCTGACATGCGGCCAACAATGTCCTCCATACAATGGCATTACACTCCATTGGCATGCTCCTGATTAAATTGTAGGCCTCCTCCACATACCCAGCTCGCCCCAACATATCAACCATGCATCCATAGTGCTTCATTGTTGGTTGAATATGATACTCTTTGCTCATAACATCAAAATATCTTCTTCCTTCATCAACCATCCCTCCATGACTACAAGCACACAAAACTCCCAAGAAAGTAACACCATCTGGTATCTCAAGCTTTTCCTCCAACATTTTCGAGAACAATTCCAAAGCATCGTCCTCATGGCCATGCGTTGCAAGCCCCAGAATTATCGTGTTCCATGACACTATGTTCTTCCCTTCCATCTTACGGAATGTCTCATATGCTTCTTCAAAAGCTCCACACTTTGCATACATGTCGATGAGCGAATTAGACACCGTCACAATATCGCCAAGATTCACATGATCAATACAAGAATGAACCCACCTCCCAAAATCTAATGCCCCCAATGTAGAACATGCCGAGAGGGTCACAACCACGGTGGCCTCATCAGGCTCTACGCCGCTCTGTAGCAGTCGTAAGAACAAGTCAAGTGCTTCCTTGCACTTTCCACAATTGACATGACTATCAATGATAGTGTTCCAAGCCACTAAATCTGGACTAGGTATTTCTTCAAACAGTTTGGTTGCAGTTCGGTCATCCCGCAACGCACCATAGATATGAATAAGAGTGTTCCTCACAAACAAATGAGACTCCAGCCCAAGTTTCAGAGTGGCACAATGCATCTGTTTGCCCAACATATATGAACCCAATTGCCCACAAGCCTTGAGCAAGAAGGAGAGTGTGAAATTGTCAGCCACCTCTCCTTTCTCTTGCATTCTCTTATAAAACTCAAATGCCTTTTCAGGCTTCCTGGTTTTCCCAAACCCCCTAATCATAGTATTCCATAGAAACCCATCTGGGTTTTCAATGCTGCTGAAAACCGAGGCCGCATAGTTCATGTCTCCACGCTCCGAAACCGCGCAAAAAGATATGATCTTTCCAAGAACAAAGGGGTTTTGATCGACCCCATTACGGATGATATGGCCATGGGTTTGCTTTACCTCTTTCATGGTGGTGCACTGCTTGAAAAGGGACATAACCTTGTGCACCTTTTGAAATATGGCGTCACGCATTTTATGTTTTGGTTGGGGCCTTTGTATTCTTGGGGCTTCAACTTGTAATGGGCAATTTTCACTTGGTGCCCTTTTCGGGCTCCTCTGAAAATTGTCTCAGCCGAAAAAAGAAAAAAAGAAGAAGAGAGAAGTCTTTTGGGTGTGTGTCTACGCATGTGGTTCACCTTATCTTTCCCTTGTTTGTTTGGGTGAATTCTTTTGGTTTGGACTCAAAAAGGAAGTTTAGTTTTGCCAAAATGTAAATTTCAACCTGTAATGTGGTTGCCTTTATATTTGAAAACAATAACTAGGTTTTGCCTTTATACTTAACCAATGCCAAATGAGTTTACTTGGTGGCACAAACAGGATTTGCTCGTTTGTCTAACATGATCTATTCGTGTGAGTGTGTGTTGTTGGGCCAAAGCCGAAGGACAAAAGAAAGCAACTCATCTAGATTAATGCTTGCGGTTTTTCTGAAAATTGCAAGGACAACATTGTTCTTATGCTCACAATAGAAGGGTTAAGTTTTTGAAATTAAGGGTTAAGGTTAACTTGTACACAACAAAATAGATTACACATGTTCTCTTCAATCCAAGTAACACAGATGCAAATTTGGAATTTGCTGGAAATAAACAATTTCTAAGATTTTTTTTTTAAGGATTAAATAGTAACAATCATAATTTCAGCTTGTCCATGGCATTAGATATATTTGTACACATAGTTCATCAAATAATCTCACAACTCTTCTCTGTCTGCACAAGTCATTGAGCCTATAACTTTCTTTTTGGTAATTACAACTCCACAAGTCCTTGCTTGTAATAACCTACCTTCATCAAATTATTCACAGAACCTCTTATTCTGCAGCCTACAACAACGTTCATGTGTGATCTAAGATTTATATTTGTTATCCTCATGCTCGAAGTCGGTTGTCGTCCCACATCAACCATAGTTTTTCACATTATCAACGTTAAAGCTTTTTCACAGTAGCAACAAGTCAGACACTAGGAGGAAAGCCTTTACGGTCACTTCAAATTTTGGAAGAATCTTGTTGATGGTTTCGAGAGCTTTCTGGAAAGCTGCTTCAGCTATACCTTTAACTTCATGGAGACTCTCTGTGCACAGAGGAAAGTAGCCTTTTTTCAGTTGCTACCCATACTATAACCGTAAATTATCAAAGATGTGAAAGAGGAAAGCTAAACATATATGGCTAAGTTACAAAGCTCCTACTTTGTGTGCTTTGCATTTTCTATATTTTTTAATCTATTTTTAGTCTTGAACATGAACTATATGATGAGTTGGAGCAGTTGAGCAGCAGAAGAAGGTGAACACTATAACTCGGGTAAACAAAGTCTCACATTCAATTCAACACACACAACAACAAAGCATGGACGCGGCACGGGAAGCTAAGTGAAAAAAAAGGCAAAAACAATCACTTTGTAAAACTAAAAGAGAAAAAAGCAAATTTTAAAAAGAAAGATAAGGAGAGAGGCAGAGTGAGACTAAAGAAAAGCAAAATAAAAGGTCTTTCTCACATACACGGATGCCCTATCCTATGGAATGAGGGAAGGATGCCCAACATTACTTGTTGGATTTCATTCTTTTTGTTTAGTTTGGAAGACCTTTTGTTCTCTTTTTATAAATTAGAACCCAAGAATTCTACATCGTAAGCGAAGAATGCAACCACATGGCTGCTGTACACATGAATTTGAAAATGGATAAAAACTCATTCCAAAATTGTAATTGTTTGTACCCAGTTTTTATAAATGAACAAAAAATAATTTATTTTTTAAAAAAGAATATTTTAAAGGCTCAAGCCCAACGGCCTTTGTCTTTTTCCTCAAAACCAAAGGACCCCCTTTACTTAGAGGGCCGTCAGTATAGAAGTAATCCAAGGCCCTAGAACAGGAAGCCCAGACTTTTGAGTCGCACTAAAGTTAAAAAGATCGGTAACCATTATATATAGACCCACGTGAGGGCCTAAAGGAGGTTATCACCATCAATGACGACTTGACTCTTTTCTTGCCCAACAAGGAAGCGAGCTGTACGAAAGCCACCGAAACCAGAGAAGGACCAAGCTGCTAGCCGGATTTTCTAGTACAAAGGACTCAAATCAAAGGATTGTCACAAAGGACCAGCAGTTCTTGTCAGAAACGTTCCATCATCCCTCTTATGAACTAGTTTAGATCAACAAATTAACAGCTGACTTTGGGCAGCAACCAAATATCCTTTCTCAGCATCCATCATTGCAAGCTCTCTCCTTGCCTATAAATAAAAAGCCTTTGCCGCAAAAGAAGGGGACACAACATCCATCATTGTTCACCCCATTCAGATTGAATATTTGAGAGGTAGTGAAAATTCTATCCCAGATTTCCTTATCAGAGAATTTCTTCAGGACAAACAATGGCATAAAAAGAAACAAAAAAGCAAGGCAAGCAACCAGTCAGACAACTCCCAGCTTCAATGATCCCTGTCAAATCAGAACAACCTTCCCAAGTCATCTCTCATCCAGGTTATTCCACCATTCAAATATCAAATAGATTTACTACCTTAGGATCCACAGTCAGCAACATTCGTCCCAATTACCAGTCAACTCTTATTTCCAGTTATGATCCATTTCAAGTTTTAACCCCCTCGCCATCCCGTTCTCCAGTCAGTCAGAAAAAGTCCTCTCCTTATTTCCCAAAGAGCAGTCACACCCTCTTTCTCATTGAACCATGCTTTAGTAACTTGTCCAACCCAGTCAAAATAGCCAAAGCCTATTTTTCCTCCTAATTTACATTACATACCCCCACATCCTTCCAAGTCACTTAAATATTATCGAAATATCCTTCTCGAAACCCAGACTTTAGAAATTAGACCAATCAAAGATAGAAATGACCCAAATATCATTCTCTATCACTCCATGTATATTCAAAAAAATTCTCAGTCAATCTGAATGGGGTGAACACCCTTATTCTCTTAAGACACTTAATTCCAGTCTCCAATACAGTTACTATAATTACATTGAAGCCTGACACACCATTTTCCTCCACCAAACTGAGGATTTTAGTCATTCATGGTTCGTCAACTTTGATAGTAAATTTAGAAGTACTTTTCCCTACTGGTTTTCTTCCTAGTGGGAAAAACATGGTCCAACTCTTGAAATTCTTCCCCCCAATCTTAAAGAGTCAGTCATGTATTTTTCCAGTAAATACAAATTCAAAGAAGGAGATTAATTTTTTTCCAAATCTTTTAATTTTCATAGCCAAAGACAAAGTCCCCTGGATCCTGAAATAGTCCTATCAAGTCAACTGGGAATCCCGTATTCTTTCTAGGCAAATCTCCATCAAATGGTGGGATAAGTTCAAGTCAGAAAGAATTGTTGACCAGGTTAATGTTGAATTCCCTCCAGTCAAGGTTCCTCAATCAAAGCCTTCTTGCTCCGGCACATCTCATTCTTCCCTCCCAATTGAAGGAAGATCCAAGTCATAAATAAAAGAATTAGCCAGACAATTAATGATTCAAGCCTCCCAGATGGTGCTAAAATATGAATATGGGTTTGAATATGTTAGGTTCTTATTTTTATTCTTCTCCATACGGAGGTATATATAAGAGTTTACATGAGAGCTTTACAAGGAATTAGATCCAGTAAAGATTAGGAAAGTATCTCCTAATTATACAATGATTTGACAACTCTATAAAATAGGAAAGTAAATCACTTAATTAACCAAAGGAAATAAATCTATAAAATAGGAAAGTAAATCCCCTAATTAATCAAAGGAAATAAATCTATAAAATAGGAAAGTAAATCCCCTAATTAATCAAAGGAAATAAATCTATAAAATAGGAAAGTAAATCCCCTAATTAATCAAAGGAAATAAATCTATAAAATAGGAAAGTAAATCCCCTAATTAATCAAAGGAAATAAATCTATAAAATAGGAAAGTAAATCCCCTAATTAATCAAAGGAAATAAATCTATAAAATAGGAAAGTAAATCCCCTAATTAATCAAAGGAAATAAATCTATAAAATAGGAAAGTAAATCCCCTAATTAATCAAAGGAAATAAATCTATAAAATAGGAAAGTAAATCCCCTAATTAATCAAAGGAAATAAATCTATAAAATAGGAAAGTAAATCCCCTAATTAATCAAAGGAAATAAATCTATAAAATAGGAAAGTAAATCCCCTAATTAATCAAAGGAAATAAATCTATAAAATAGGAAAGTAAATCCCCTAATTAATCAAAGGAAATAAATCTATAAAATAGGAAAGTAAATCCCCTAATTAATCAAGAAATTTGAGATAAGGCATTTGAGGACTTTAGATTTGAGGGATTTGATTTGAGTATGAGAAATTTGAGATTTGAGTATGAGAAATTTGAGATAAGACATTTGAGGACTTTAGATTTGAGGGATTTGGATTTGGGAGAATTCGGAAACGATATCCATGGCAGCGGAATGATTGAAGAATAAAAGAAAAAAGATGTGTTTAGGGTTTCGGGATAAGAGTATATGAGGATTCGGGTTTAGGCCTGAATCTGAAACTGGAAATACGAGGAATACGATATGAGGGATGTGATTTTGGGTAAGAGGAAGACGATATGAGGAATTCGATTTAGGATACAAGGATACGATACGAGGATATGAGGAATTTAAAGAACACAGAAACCCTGTGAACACGGCTAAGAACACAGAAACCCTGTGAATTCGGTTAAAGGACACAGAAACCCTGTGAACACGGCTAAAGGACACAGAAACCCTGTGAACATGGCTTAAGAACATAGAAACTTCTCTTCAATTCTCTTCTCCCCCTGAAGAGAAGGGTATGTCGGAGTCAAGAAAGAGGCAAAATCTCCATGAGAATAAGAAACAGATCCTTTTTCACTCCCCCTCCCCCCCTTGAAGAGGAGGGGAGGAGAAATTTTGATATGAGAATTTAGAGACAACCGAGGATCGATTGCTCCGATACCATGCTAAAATATGAATATGGGTTTGAATATGTTAGGTTCTTATTTTTATTCTTCTCCATAAGGAGGTATATATAAGAGTTTACATGAGTGCTTTACAAGGAATTAGACATAGTAAAGGATTAGGAAAGTATCTCCTAATTATACAATGATTTGACAACTATATAAAATAGGAAAGTAAATCCCTTAATTAATCAAGGAATTACATGAGAGCTTTACAAGGAATTAGATCCAGTAAAGGATTAGGAAAGTATCTCCTAATTATACAATGATTTGACAACTCTATAAAATAGGAAAGTAAATCACTTAATTAACCAAAGGAAATAAATCTATAAAATAGGAAAGTAAATCCCCTAATTAATCAAGGAAATAAATCTCCTTGATTAATTAGGAGACTCACTTCAACAGATGGATGATGATGAAGATGTTTCCCCAAGGTCACAATCCACTCCAGCCTCCTCTTTCAGTCAAACACAAAATCCATCAATCGGTCAAAAAGATTCCACGCATAAATTTGGATGGGCCGACTACCCCGACAGTCAAGACCCCTATGATTTGAATGAAGACTAAAGCAAAAGCAAAAGCTAGAATAATGTCTTCAAGACCCGTGCCTCTACATTCAATATTCCCTGCATAAAGACTAATAAGGTCAAGGTAAAAGTAAAAGTGAAAGTAAGAAAGCAGAAGTAAAAGCAGAAAAAGAAAATAGTCAAGAGCCCCGTGCCTCCACAGTCACCAATAGCTGTCGACATCACAGTAGTCTGGCTCTTTAAATAGAGGTTCATTTCACATTGTGAAGTCAAGTTGCAATTTTAGTTTTCAGTTTCAAAGTTCTCTAAGAAGCATTACTCCGAAGAACACTTTTAAAATATGAGTGCTATCTATCAATAAAAATTTCCAAGATTTTTTGTAAGCCTACAACTTCATCAATTTCATTATAAGCATTAATTTTAAATTATGTTTTTTTTATAATGTGTATCTATTCACTGCTAACATTTTATTATTATCTATCTTTATTTGTAATACTAAGTATCTATATATATATAGGGTAATGATTTCCCCACTTCCTTTTTATCCACTTACACTCCTTTTTTAGTTATAAAATGGAGTGTAAGTGGATAAAATTGGAGTGGGGAAATCACCACTATATATATACTGCAACTCTATATTTTAATTGTTCGGCACATATATATAGAACATCATTTTGTTGACCACCGCGAATCTAACGGCATGTTACCCCGGGCCGAGGGGATCTGCGTCAACTCGGGTCGTCCTTCTTTGGTGCAGTGCGTTTGTGCGCGGGCGTGCCAGCTCGGTCTACCGTGCATTCGAGGATGGTGAGGGTGGATGGGTAGAGGAATCGCGCGCTTGTTTGAGTTTAACTTCTAATTAGAGCAATTGTGGTCGAGAGAGGAACTGATCTCGGCCGTCGGGTTCATGACCTGAGCTACAAGGCCGTTAATGGTGGTTGCAAGTGGGGGGGGGGGTTAGGTGGTTCTCCGGCGCCTTGAAAACTAAGGGTCGTATGATATATTGATGAATGGATTTTCCTACAAGTTGTCACTACTCCTAAGAAAGCAAGTAAAGATATTGAAAGTGCATTACAGGAAGATAAATTACATGAAGTAAATGACAGGAAAATATAATCTGCTCCGTGGGAGGCTTGTGTTTGGTGTTGAACCCTTTAAACTTAGTTGAAGCCCGGTATTTATAGGGGAGGTCATGAGAAGACAATCAGGCTAAAAATCTGCATGATGAGGCTGATCAGAGATAGTGGGTAGTCGAGCTGACGTTTGGGGACGTGAAGTATGGTGGTGTGACCCCCATAAATCCCGGCCGCCGCCCTGATGGTGGGCTCTGCGTCTTGGGCCTTGGAGGAGCATTTAATGCCCTGGTCTGGTGGTTGGTGACTCAATCTTACAAGTCGTGAGATTTTTACACCTAATCACCCTGATTTTACTCGCCATATCCTGACTTTAATCACTTCCTCTCTTCTCTTGTGCATTAAATACTCTCACGCGGACCGTGGGCCCTCTGTTGCAGTCAAAGGCGTTACTTTTACTCGCCATATCCTGACTTCAATCACTTCCCCTCTTCTCTTGTGCATTAAATGCTCTCACGCGGACCGTGGGCCCTCTATTGTAGTCAAGGGCGTTACTTCACTAAATGAAGTGTGGGGCCTTGATGCCACGTGGCGACGTCACTTGATCTTTTCCGCTTTGGCTGTGTACTTGGGAGTATATTAATTTCTTTGTTTATGTTCACCGTGGCCGTGGCCGTGACGGTTTTGCCTTCACGGCTCAACCTTTATTCTACGAGAGAAACGAACCACAACTCAATGCGCTCGGCCCCTTCTAGGTAGGCGCTTCAGCCAAGAGGTTGCTCCTTCGGTCGGCCTCATAGGCCGAGATTTCTAGGCACAAACACATTTGAGGAGTTGTAAGCCTTGCATGAAAAGATATAAGATGTTGGTCTCAACCTATCGCAAATTAGTTTTGGGTTCGGATGCTCTGTAACTTGTACATTTCTATATTCCTTTGGATTATCAACATTTAAAAACAAAGTTGTGATGCTTTAGTTTATTAGGACAAACCTGTAAAAGAAAATAGAAATTCATGCATTGGCATTGTACTTAATTTATTCGTTTATTAAACTATAAGAACATTCATATAAACATATTGAAATGCCCTTTAGCATTTCAGATTGGAAAAGTTTGAAAATAGGTAAAGATTTATTTAGTTTTTCAGTTTGAAAGTATTTAGATTTACTTCTCTCTCTCTCTATATATATAGAGAGAGAGAGTTTCAAACATAATTCAGGCTAAAATGGATAAAAACACATTCCAAAGTAATATCACAAGCAAGAAAGAGATGTAAATGTTATAAAATAGTCTAAATATGAAAGTACCACTAAATATTAGGGTGAAATTGTATTTGCTCTTTATTTGCTCTTGTGGTTTTATACTGGTAGAATTTAGTCTCTCAGATAAAACTCTTCTAACTCTCAGATCTTTCACTCTCTTTTCTCTTCGGATTGATGTGTGTTTAGCAAAGCAAGAGTGATGCCTATTTATAGGCAAAGTAGCTTAAGCATGTTGGCCTCCCGTGAATGCACAATTCTTCAATAGTAACCATGCATGTGAATGCTTCCAACATGTGGGCTCCACACAAAGACTTTTACAACAGTAAAAACTTTGTACCTCTTTTACCGATTCCTCCCATTCCAACTTTTTGCTAACCCACGATACCATGCCTCTACTTTTTCTTTTTCTTTTTCATGGCCTTCATCTACAAAATACAACATCAATATTCGTTTTAGTAGCAAGAAATGTCAAAAATGAAAGAAAAAGAATTCATGTATTGAAATGTATAAATTATGTACCTCAAGTTGATCGTGAGGCATGATGGTTGAGAGTTTTGAGGTGTTGTGTAGAATTTGTTAAGGGGTAGGGAGGAGGAGACTTGGTTTCAGTTTAGTGCTTGCTGGAGAGAGAGAGAGAGAGAGAGAGAGAGAGAGAGAGTTTTGATCTGCAGGCAGTGGGGAAGAAGGGGTGGGTGGGGGTTGAATATATTATTGAGGTGCCTTGCGTCTTGTTACTGTAGCATGATTGTGATTGGGTGTCACATGTGAATCATATACATATCTCATATATTTCTTTCACTTTGGCATGTAGAAATCATAGAAATTAAAAACACCGCATGTGATGCCTGCTTGCTTTTGATTTAGTGAAATGGCATGTAGAAATCATAGTTTTCCAAACCATCACTCATGGCAGTAGTGACCAATCCCAAACAAAAACAACAAAACCAACTGCCCTTTGGTTTTGGCAAGTTTCTCTTGGTCTATATCTGCCTAGGATTCTAGGAATTACTCATGAAATATAATGTGTCCGTTAGTGATATGATAAATGGGTCATTGAAAAGTGGTTAGCCAAGAAAAAAGATAAAGAAAGGAGGACGTTGACGTTTTTACCTTATACATGTCTGGATTAAGAACATTCAATTCAGCCATAGAGAGTCTTCTAGAATTGTCTAATTGCTAAGGCGCTAGTTGTGGCATTGCAGAAGGTGGCAACATTCTTATAGGGTTTGTAAAATCACTAAAGCTGCATTGGTTGTGTTTTTTTTTTCTTTATATAAGAGAGCTTATTAGTTCAGGTTAAAAGACAAATGCACATCCATATTAGAAACGAATGGTAAAATATCATACAATGTTTTGTACAACTGCAATTCTGGTATATCTGGGTTAATGAAAAGCAAAGTTGAAATGGTATTATTTAAGACAGTTTTTCCTGCATATTGATAAATAAGAGATTAGATTTGCTTTTGGTGAAGATATTTGAGAATGATTAATAGAAAGAATGAGAAATAAATTGCATACCTTGGAATTCTTTAACTTTTAGGCTTGTAAAAACCACAAGTGTGGGTGGGACTAACTATTGTAAAGCTTTCACATCGAAAGTTTTTTCTGTGTCACCCCACAAAGTGACTCTAATTTTCTCTTTCCTGCAGCAACAGAGGAAAAAAACCATTTTAATAAGAAAGCTAACAGGTTGACAATTTATAGATGTTTTGTTAACAGTTTTACCTTATATTCTCAATGTGAATTTCACACTTTGTTTCAAGTCTCGTGTTGCCAACCATTTTGGTTTCCAGATCTTGCACGGCAGTGATGCGGCCCAGAACATCTTGCAATTTTACAAAATAGCATTATAAGATTATTAGAATATGTAAAACCTCAAGTACTCAAAACGCCATTTAAAAAAACTAATTGTATGTGTATGCAGATTGCTACCTGTTAGAATTGAATTATCATTTATCCGAGAGGATAGGTGGTTGTAATCAATAAAGTAGAAATGATGTGTTGGAATTGCTGGCTGAACATTCAATAATTTTTTGAAAACTGTTCATGCATTGAAGATCAATGATGCAACATGTGGAACGACTTGGAATGACGATTTGCTTTTTGCGATATAAAAATGACCGATGTCATAAACACATGTAGTCTCTATCCTTGGAGCCACCAAGTCATAATCAATCTCTCTAATTGTTGCTTGAATCACATCTCTCTGCATCATTGAAAAAAGAAAAGAAAAAAGTCATAGACCACAAAAGGACAATCCATTCTTGAATTTAAAAGTAGGATATGGTATATAACAAACCAATATAAGCAAATCATCAATCTGCTAAACTAAAAGCATTGACGATTAATGAGGGAGAAAGGCATTGCAAATTAATTGAGTTGTTGAAGTATGGATATACATTCAATTGAAAGCAATTAACATTTTAAATGTAAATTGTAGGCCAAAATTATAAATAAAAAAATGCTAGGGATTAGATTGTACAATTAGCAATGAAAGTTGATCAATAAGACTTATTGATGTTCAAAATATATAAAAGGTTTTTTGTTCATGGCCATGAAGAAAATAATGGCTCTTTTTTTGTTTGTGGCATACACATAATTTCAGATGCGTGTTGTATTAATAACTGACACAAATTAATGTGCAATCATCCAATTAAAAATACCCTCAAGTGCACGAATCTATTGAGGTATAGATTATGCAAGTACGGAGTTGATCCCACGAAGAACTGTCGGCTTATTAAAAGTGACCTAATTGGGGGGGGGGGGGGGGGGGGG